GGTGTTTCCTCTCGTTTTATTTCTCTCGATGATCGAAACGCTGATATTCTGATGGTTCTCTCTCTCTCCCTCAGCTCGGAGTGAACGGCTACTCCTTCCTGGTGGACAACAACGGCCACGTCCTGTACCACCCGGACCTCCGGCCCATGGTAAGCGCGGGCCGACCTCTCCATCTCAGCCCAGCCAGAAATACTGTGACGTAGAGACTTAAAAGTCGACGTCGGCAACGATCGTGACGACGGGATTTCGTCGCTAGATTTGATGTTAAATTTCTGGCTGGGGAGGGGCAGTGGGTGCGGTCCTATCTCACACTTAAGCACTTGGAAATAAATAAGCGGACATTTTCTCGTGGACTGAATACTAAAGCCCTGTAGCTGCACTAGTCGGGCACCCCCGTTTCCAAACCGGCCGCGAGGAGGCACCTCTAGCCGCGAAGCACGTCTGTCGAAACTGCTTTAGATGTGCAGGGTAGTGTGCATGTACGACCCTTACGCCTAGATTTTCACACTGTCATTCAAACCTATAGTTTTCTCTCGAAATTGGGCCACCAGTCCTGTGCAGTGTTTTCGTACTAACATCTCTGGAGATTAACGAGAAATCTTTACCAATGGAACGCATCATCCATCACCAATACCCGTAGGAATTCGCCTAATAGACCTGCTTGTCAAACCTTTCACTAATGCACTCTAAATTATCTTTTTCAGCAAAACTCACGTCAGGTAAATACAATTTTTGAAATTTTGTGCTCATTTTGAGTAATTTGCGAAATTGCACAGTCTTCTTGATGTAGTAGTTATCGAATTAGTTTTGGTTTTCTTTTAGCTTATTTATGTTTTTGTAAATTGGCATTTTCTCGTCTTTTTTTATAGCATATGTATGTTGTAAAGAAAATGTACTTAAAATAGATCCAGGGATATTGATGCATTCAAATTCCTGGTTTTCTTTGTCCTACTTTCGGATTTGGAACACGAAAATCACAAAATTACCTCAATATTGGATAAATCTACTAAATTTGTTAGATTTTGCGTGAATTCTTACAGAACTGAAAATACGGGGATTTTGCTCCGTTGTATCACGCACTCTCAGATACAGCCCTTGCTCCAGAAGTTTCGCTTATGGCCTCTCAATTGTTGTGCTAGGGGAATTGGTTTTAAAATTTCATTTTTGGCGGATCTGGCGCATCCAAGTGTTGGGCAAGTGAACTGCCCTCTCAATTTTTGCTCCTAGTTTGATGGACCGGGTGTCTGGGCTGTAACATGCCGGTTATATTTGGTTGCCTATACTCTTACTCTGGCTCGCAGACGTTGTGCTGCAAGGGAGCAGGCACCGGGGGTAGCCTCACCTCTCAACTTAACCCCTAGCTAAATACCAGGTCCTCTCCACAGTGCTGCCCTTCCAGAGCGACTCTAGCGCCAGCAAGTAAGCGCGTATGCAACCAAACATCCCGAAATGTCAGAGCCGGGATACCGGGTGTATTGGTAGAATTGATTCCTGCTTAACTGTACCTGATCGGTTTCTGTCGTTTTCTCTAACATTGTCAGCCGATTTCTCCGGCTAATGTGGCCCTCTCTTCTGCAGTTCCAGGACACTCTGAAGCCTGAGTACAATAGCGTGGACCTCACTGAGGTCGAACTCGTGGACAGTGACGGAGGACCTCGCGAGAACAACTCCATGCTGCTCGATGTACGAGTCTTTTTCCATGCACTATCATATTACCGTAACCGAGAGTCTTTTCCAGATTTCATCTTAATTTTGGGCATATTTTTTACAGCTTCGGCACGACATGATCGATCAGAAGGAAGGAGAGACGGACCTAACCATAAAAACGGATTTCAACGGAATGGTAAGTAGTTCGTTTTAGATGGAGTTCGAGTTCCTGATTTGAAAAGCGAACTTGGGTCGAACATTCTGCACCACCGAGTGATGAGAAAGTTGAAGAAAGTAGTCCCTCGATATATTTGATGCAAACGATTCGATTGGTTTCAGCGCGTGGCCACCCGCCGGAACAAGTACTTCTACAACCCCATCGACGGCACGCCCTTCTCGCTAGCGCTGGCGCTGCCGGAGGGCTACGGCATGTACGAGACTGTTGGGGAGGAGGAAATAAAGCGCAGCACCGTTAACCGTAAGTGTCCTTGCAGGGGAAAAACACAACTACTACTTAGGTTGTCTGCATATCTCGCCCACTGACCACGAAAACTATTTTTGCTTACAGTTTCCGATCTCTTCAAAGGAGACAACTGGAGGCTCCACCCGGACTGGTGCGTATACATCACTCAATATCATTGTGTACCTATAAATATACCGCCTGGTGCAGTTTTTGATTCGAGATTTAAACTTGAATCATGCCCACAGAGATATGCCACCCTCTCAAAAACAATATATTTTCTTGCAGGGTGTACTGCGAATACAACTACGCCTCGGATCACCACTTCAAATCGCCGGAGGACCAGTTCTTGCACTTCCTCAACAAGGTCAGGAGACCCGGCTGGAAGTGGATGTCTCAACGTCACTGGACCCCACAAGCAGGTACAGTCACCGCGCGCATGCTCCACGGAGGCGTCTTCGGCTTTCACTCATTCTAACATTCTTCAACTTTTCGTTTCCAGTTAAAGACATGAAGAAGCTGGAACGGGACTCGTACTACTGTAAGTATCTCGTGCCGTCGGCCCGCGCCTCCTCACCCCCTTTGCTCGCACCACCAGCGCTTACCCTGACTTCTCTGCCCGCGCAGGTGACAAGACGTTAGTGCAGTCGCTGGTGTACGACGCGGTGGTCACGCAGGGCCTCGACCAGCCTGCGCGCCTCGACCGGCCGTCGAACGTCAACGAGGAGAGGCAGTAAGTGTCCGAGGCCAGATCAGATGCGACAAAGGGAGAGCCCCATTGTCACGAATGGAGAGGGGAGGGATGGGGCCGTTGATTTTAATGAACGCATGGGGTTGTTTTGATCAGTATTCTTTGTTTCGGTTCGTTTCTGGGGATCTGAGTCATTGGGCTCTCGTTTCGATAATCTCTGTACGAGTCGTCGTCACTGGCTTCACGTTCACCGCACGCTGAGCATGTATTAGCCACTCACCATCACAAGGGTCTGTTCAAACTGTCGTGTCGGACAAAGCATCTCTTCATCGTCGCAGCAAATGGCCTTCCTGGTGTGGAAGTTGAATATTTCATCAGAAGACTTTTACTTAATTAATGCACACACCGTCCTTGTATTGTGTCTGTGTCTTGCACTAACGCACTGCTTTCCCTGAATAAAATGTTTTGTTCGATTTTTTTTTTGTGAATGCTCGTCGCACTGCAGCTAACAAGGAAACTGTCTCACTAACATTTCTTTCTTTGTCGTTTTCTTTTCACATTTCACTTCTTTCTCACTAATTTATGTTCATCCTCCCTCTTGCAAATAGCCCTATAGCCGTTCTCATGGCTCTGTGGCGAAGGTAACGTATAGGTCGCATTTTCGAGTGCTTTCCTTTAGGATAGCGTCGCTAGCCCTCAGTATATTTAGTCGGCCTTGAAAAAAGGTTAAAGACAGATTTCAAGATTCAACGCAAGTGTTTTTCCCCATCCGTATCGTAATTTATCAGACCCTGTTCCTAGAAATTCAATAATGTTTGTATCTATCTTAAAGATGGCTTATCTTCCCTCCCGTCGTGAATGTCTGCATTCGCGCATTCACATTCGCGAGAAACCAAATTTCACAAAGTAGAGACTAGATTCATTTTTGTTGCATATTAACGTGTTTGTTGTGTATTCTTCTGTTGAAAGTGACACCATTTTCCGTTCATGACAAACGTGCCCGTTTTACACCCTCTTGAGATTAATAATAATTTCAACAAGTATAGGAAGTACTATACCCGAAAAACTTAATATTGAAAACAAGCAACTGTCAAAATAAATAATTTTCAAGAAAACAAACAGCTCAAATTCTGTGGTGTCACTTTCTTCAACGTGATCTGTTTTTCGCGTACCGAAGGCTGTGGTGAGTACCTACTAACAACTTTACTCCTCCTACAAGCTGCCAAAGGAAAGTGTTTCACTATGTCGCCAAAAAGTTACAAAGTTATCATCACATCCTCAATTCTTTGGTACCAGGTGTTTAGAGCAGACGCCGCAGTGTTGTGGCTTTGCATATCGTCTTGGGCCGGAAGGGACGTGGCATTTTACGGGTAGAATGAGTAGGCAAACCGTAACACTTCGGCGTCCGCTCTAAAACATCCAGAACATAACTTTGTAGGGTGGTTGAAGACTCTGTACTTTTCGAGCAAAATCCATTCCGTCTAGTACATTCCGAGGGGTCTACAACTCGTATAATCAAAAGTACACGACCCTATAATCACTTATAATCACGCCTATAATCC